GTTTCAGGTAATGTTGCCTTCTTACCTGCATCCTGCTTTCTTTGTTCTCAGGTGATTGCCCAGCGTTTGATGCAGTCTAAGCAAACGATACCTCACTATTATCTCTCTGTTGACGTCAACATGGGAGAAATATTGGAGCTGAGGAAAGAGCTCAACCAGGTAACTTAACGGTTGTGACTTACGCAGCCAACCGGATGTTTATGTGCCTCTGACTCTCCATCCTTCCAATTCGCTTGCTGCAGATGCTCCCTCAAGTTTGCATTTCTAGGATTTGGAGAATGTAAGGGAGAGATCATTCATTCCACAGGGCTAATTCCACAGGAAGACGTACATTTTACAAATAGCAATAGCACGTAGACTTATATACCGCTTTGCACCCCTCTCTCAGCGGTTTGCAGAGTCAGCCTCTTGCCCCCAACAATCTGGGTCCTCATTTTACCCACGTCGGAAGGACGGAAGGCTGAGTCAACCTTGAGCCTGGTGGGATTCCAACTATGGCAGCCGGCAGTCAGCAGAAGGAGCCTGCAGTACTGCACTCTAACCACTGCACCACTGCACCGCCCACAGGGGGTGATGGCGAACGCATGGCATGTGTGCCACAGGAGGCACGCAGAGCCCTCTCTGCGGGCACGCCAGACATCACCCCAGCCTAGCTCCACCGTGCATGTGCACGCATGTCCCGCTGGCCACCTGTCTTCGGATCTCTGCTGCGCATTCATGGGGGTGGGGTGCATGCAGGGGACCCACGTGTGTGTGCTGGGGGGGGGGGCGCATGCACAGAGGGCACTCGTATTATGGGACCTCACGACGCACCCCCTCAACCCGTTTTGGCTTCCAGGTAGGTGCAGGAGGCTTTCCAGGCCCAAAACGGGGCACAGGAGAGGAGCATGCGCAAGGGGTGTGGCGCCCACGGGGGAGGGTCATGCACGCATTGCATTATGGGTGCGAGCACCCCCACCTGCACTGTCACACACCCCACCCCCCCCCACACACAAGCACTTTTGGCACGCAACACCAAGGTTAGCCATCACCGTCCTAGCGATAGAACGAAGCAACACTTAAAATTGTGATAAATCCAGTGAAACCCTCTGGGCTTCAAAATAAAGCAAAATCATCTCTTTCTAGAACTTGGCTTTGTGGAAAATAGGCGTGTTCAGTTTGGAAAGCATGAGAACCTCAATGTGTGAATGGAACCCCTCCTTTTTCTTAGCCGGGTCATTCTGGCTGCACAGTCACAACCGTTGCACTTCTGATGGCCATAGGATTACGTACACCAGGATTTCGGTTTTCTCGAATTAAGGACCTTCCCGATATGTGGGCCTCAGTTCCCAGAATTCTCCAGCCAGCTGGGAGATTGCTGGAAATCCTGGGAATTGAAGTCCGTTGTCTCTGGAGGTTTGCAGAGAATAGTTCATTGGTGACTTCTACTCAACTGATCAGTTTGAGCAGCGTTTCTTCCCCCGGCTGTCCCTCTGCAGGAGATGCCACAGAACACCAAGCTGTCCGTCAACGACTTCATTATTAAAGCTTCGGCTCTGGCTTGCTTGAAGGTGCCCGAAGCGAATTCTTCGTGGTTAGAAACAGTCATTAGGCAGTAAGTGCACCGGTGGGCCAGGCAGGGGTGGAGGTTTGGCTCCTCCTGGAAGGTCTCTTATTACAAGGAGCAGCAGCATCTTGCGGTGTTTATTCAACCGGATTTTGTGAGTGGTCGCAGAGTCTCGTCAATGAAAATCACTTTCTGTCTTTCAGAAACCACGTAGTTGACGTAAGCGTGGCGGTCAGCACCCCAGCCGGGCTGATAACGCCCATTGTGTTTAATGCCCACACCAAGGGCTTGGCCTCCATCAACCAAGACGTCGTGACGTTAGCCAGCAAAGCGCGGGAAGGCAAGCTTCAGCCCCACCAATTCCAGGTGCGGCCCCTTCCCTCAGCTACCTCTCTCCCTTCGGGTGGCTATTCAACGTTTTGTTACGACACCTTGGCATTTTCTCGTTCGCAGGGCCAGTGATTCGCGCCGCAGCCTTGAACCTTTTTGTGTTTCCTTCACAGGGGGGAACCTTCACAGTTTCAAATTTAGGAATGTACGGCATTAAGAATTTTTCAGCCATCATCAATCCACCGCAAGCTTGTATCTTGGCGGTTGGGGGCTCGGAGAGGAGGCTGGTGCCGGCAGATAATGAAAAAGGGTAAATGCTTTTTCTTTTGTTAAACAAGTGGAAAGCCAGCCTCTAAGCCCTTCATGGTATTGGACCTGGGTACTTGAGAGACCGCCTGCTGCCAATTACCTCCAATAGAC